ATGTATGTATGTATGTATGTATGTATGTATGTATGTATGTATGTATGTATGTATGTATGTATGTATGTATGTATGTATGTATGTATGTATGTATGTATGTATGTATGTATGTATGTATGTATGTATGTATGTATGTATGTATGTATGTATGTATGTATGTATGTATGTATGTACGCATGTATGCATGCATGCGTGACAGACTGTACTTTGACACATTTATCGCTCAGTAGACAGGGCCAGGAAGTAAGTTCACACATTTGATCAAATTTAACATTCTGGACATTTAGACAGAGATAAATGATTATGAATAAGAAGCACCATTTGATATAAAATTCAACAAGACAGCGACTTACGAGTACTGCTAGTTTTTTGAAATGACGATGACTAATAACAGTTCAGCCGAGAAAGATGCTAGCTATATGCAAGCAACAATACAGAAAAGTTTGAAAGAAAATGAATAGGAGGCAAAAGAAATGGACATAAAAGAATCGGAAATGGCAAACTAAAAGTGACCAGTAAAGAGATGAGCGGAAGCGTCTGATGTTTCCAGAACAGTACCCTAAGGGCTCGTAAAATTCAGCAGAAATCAGAGATGTTTTCGTGATCACGTGTGCTGTACAAGATATGGATGAGTGTTGGAGAGACAGGAGCAGAATACTGTACAAGAACCAGTGTAGACGGCTGTGTTTTTGAGGAAGGCGGGAGACAAGTAAATTAGTTGGGAAAGCATGTGTGAGGGTGATGCTTAGACTCGGGTTGAAAACATCTTTATGCAGGCATGGGCAAACGGTGCAGACATGAGAAAAGAATCAAATAGTGTATGACAAATTAGGGAATTAAAAAGCTGAAAGTAATAATAAAGTAAAGGAAAGCAAAGGACACATTTACACGTCAGTGACACACCAGGAAACTGTTGCTAGACCAAGATTTGTTCGGTACTATATTAGATACCAGGTCACCATCACATTGGCCACATCTCGACAGACGGGCTTTGAAACCCATTTTTTGGCTGGATGGATTTGGCAGCCAAAGCCAACAGTTTAAAAAAATCAGACTATTCGAATTTGGATCCACGACATTTGGACTGGCAGGCAAGCGTCTTCGTGAGACCGGACGTAGCAGGCTATAGCAAGCAGTGAACGTTTTTGAATAACATATTCACAATATTTTTAATATTCGTGTTTGTAAACAAGATTTTAAATGCCAAATTTTTCATTCGGCCGTTTTCAAATGTCTAACAAGAAAATTATAATTTGTATCTAGTGCCACGTAACAGCCCACGCCCCCTTTTGTCTTTGACTCGTCTAGATCCTGTCACCTCTATGCAGATAAGGCTAAGTTTAAAAATCGACCTGCCTCTACAGGTATATAGTCCATCTTTGGTAAATATAGGTCTTTGGGTCGAGTTAAATACTCCTAGATGTCCCAATTCTTCTACGAACATTATAGTTTTGATTCACTGGTAATTATTGCCTAAAGTCCTTTGGGCATATCACAGCCCGGGGAGGATGAATCCGTCGCCGCGTTATTCGAGAGAGACGCTTGAGTTAACACTATTTTCAGCCCGGCTTCCAGAGAGAGCAGGCGCTTTGTGCTTTTGCGCTAAATTTTGTTGGATATCTAGGATCATTTATGTATCGTAAAAGAATCCAGAGCTTAGGATTGTAAGTTCACTGGAGGCCAGCCGGACAATCAGCACATATCCACGTCACCAGTATTCCTTACCACCACCAGCCAGAAGATACTACCATGAGGCCTGCCGACATGTCTGTTTCTACGCCCAGATGTCACGAAACGATCTCAGTGGTTCCAGAAGTTAGTACTTGTAATAAGTTCTTCTGGTTCTAAAAGAGAGAGGATTATATTTACTCTGCCCGTTACAATAATATTACTTTAAACCGAATTGATTTAAATGTTTCTAGTCCTTAGTCCAGACCAAGCGACTGAGTCTTGGGTAATGTTACGCAATTACACCGGGACTAGAGAATTTCCTTTCACATGCACATGTCATAAATGTTATCTCCTGACCAGACTGCTTTGAACAGACTTTTGATGAGACTAGATCAAGGGAATTGAGCGGACTCTAGACAATGTGGCGACGGGAGGTTTGAGTTTCGCAAGTCAGTGTAATTCTTGGCAGAACAGGTGTTTGGCAATTAGGAATGTTTGATCTGGGTCAAGAAGTAAACACAATGGCTTCACGGACCGTTTTCACACCGGCTAGTTTGATTCGTTGTAAACTAGATTGGGTCACTTAAGACTGTTTGCTCTAGGGATGTCAGTCCAGAATTGACTGACAGGCCACTTGTTAGCTAATTTGATCTGATAGGTACTTCAGAGGCGTGGCTTAAGTCATTGTCTTGAGGGTTGGGTAGAACCGAGGAAAGGGAGGAGATTAATTCGGACAATAGATTGATACTTATACTTTGAGCCTGTGGAATTCCCGTCATTAAGCGCAGCCTGCCGGCAAACAAACACAGGTCGACGTAAAGGTATTTTACGGTCGCATTCTTGTTTGGCGATAGATGGAAAGTTCCCAGGTGAATATTAATTAATCTTGTATACTTAGGTTAGGGAGTTAAGCTTAGTCTATACTACCTTTTCTTAATTTGTCTGCACATTCTGCTTGAAATAGTTCTTTGTGAGTATTCAGTATCTCAAGTTAGGGAACTGCTAAACTATTCCTATTTCTTGTATGTTTGTGTCACATGTTTTTAAGTGTATGTTTCCATGTGTATAAAATAAGATGTGAACCATGACATTTGCTATAATGAAATGTAATTATATTGTTTCCACCATCTACCAAAATATGAGTTTGGACTGTGGGAAATCATGCCCATATGTGCAGGGATGGTGCTACGTTTTGTGTGCCCACCATGTGCTCACTTTATGTGTTCACCTGAACAGGGGATTTATAACCCCAGGGGAAGAATGATGGGTGTACAGTATTTACTGTCACTGAAAGATAATATTTAGGACAGCATGCACATATAAAATGGTTGGAGTTTTCAGCACATAACCTGCTCCACGTGGTCATGTAATATCAATGTCAGCCAGTTTGGAAGTCTGAGTGATGACGGACAACAGACTTAGAAAGTCAACTATCATGACATAGCATGAAGAGGGAAGTCAGGATATGTGACGTCCATGTAAGACAAAAGACCTTCAGACTAGACTGGAGAGCATGTTGAATATGAGGAGGAGTGATGGGATATATTTTATTATTATATGTTATATTAATTAATACATGTATTCTTAGTGTAAGTCAAGATACTACACGTATGTGTTTGTTTCCATGATTACAGCGCCCATGTGACGATCAGTCCATGAAAGAGACTACATTGTGTTAGACTCGGCCAGCTGGGAACGAGGTGGGGGCGAGGAGGAGAAACAAGCAGGAAAGAAGCTGGAAGAGGAGGAAGAGCTTGACAGTGCTCACGGCTGTCAGAGGTTCTATGAAACACAAGTTATGTTCATAAATTGTTCATACTTTATCACCTTCATCACACCACTCTAATCCCAGGTGCTGTTCTCGCGCTGAAGCAACCCATTACTATCATAACTTTAGCTAGTCACTGTTTGTGTAAACACAACAAACTGGGTATATCAATTAACTGATTGTTAGAAAATAAAGCTGTATGTCAAGTTTTATACTACATCGTTTGTTAAATTCCAAGTGTATTCAATCTTACCTGTTTTCTAAACTGATAGATAGAAGTACATTTGGTGGGTGCTCAAATAATATGATAATAATTCTTTAATTATTCATGATAACACCAGGAAAAGGGAGATGACGGAGGAATCATTTGCCCTGTCTAATAATTCATTAAGTATAATGCTATAGACATCTAAAATTTCTTTTCTTCCCTTGTGGGTACCAAGTTCAGCTAATGTTAATATACTTAACGAGCCAATATGGCTGTTTTCTTGGATATCCAGGACTTTGTCTGAGAGCAACATAGCTCAGATTTTAGTTCGGTTTATCTGGTGGAGGGAATGTGTTGAGAGGAACATCCCTACTCAACATTATAAACATTTTATCCACCGCGTCACGTCACACCAGATAGTGACCAACTACTCCATTGGGAGGGATCCATTGCCAGGGAGCTGTATGGTGAAGCCAGAGGTTGCCTGCCATTTGTGTCTGCGTTTATTGTGAAAAGTGGCTCTAATTTTACATTAGAAACATTTGTACTTTTTGGCCAAAGTAGGACTATAGTGCACAGTCTGATGTATTCAACAGTGCAGTGTCATATATGCCTAGGAGCAGAACCCTTTCAGTGACTTTGTACCAGCCATCCCAGATGTATAGGAAGTGAAGTGATACAGTGGACAGGACCTGAATGAGTGATATTACAGCGGTTGTGGTCACTCTTAACTCGAAAAGCTAAGTCCACTGTGCCATGGTTTCACCGCATAGCTATAATGACATTAGCTGCTACTGGAAGCAACTCTTGTTCTAGTCAAATATAAATTGCCTTTGTCTCCTCAGTGTCATTGATTTTATTGAATTTTTTGCCTTATCCTTGTATTGGTTATACTGACTACAGAATGTTTGTGAATTTTACATTCGTGGTTTAGTGTCCATCTTTCACTGTTCCTAGTTGTCTGGAATGTGTGTAACATTACTATATTGCATATTTTACTGTGTTTCTTATGTTGACTAGGATAGGAGACTATCTAGTCTGGGGGCTTAACTGAAGTAGTGAGTAAGTCAGGCCAAGTTGCGCCTAGGAATATATTATGTTCTGTAGTGCCATAATTTGCATCGCCTCACCCCTGAAGTAGGTAAGATGTTCATCAGAGCTGCGGGGTTCCGCCTAAGCCATTGAGAGCCAACATCTTACTATTTTATAACTACTTCAGAGTGCTAATTGGTTTATCAGGAGAAAACCTTACCAAAGCACGTGACACCAGCAGTATGTGACATTTAGTTTTTCTGAAACTGAGATTCAACAAGCTTTTGAAGCCAGCAGTTTCCATAGGGAAGCATACATTACCTTGTATTGATCGGCGTACTGTTCCGTGTACCTGGGATCCACACTACACGGCAGCACTGCCAACGACCCCGCTACCGCAGTGATCACCATAGGCGTTTCGTCAATCACTCGAGCTTTGTTGAAGACGCATTCTGAAACACATAAAGAACACGCTGTCACAACAATATAAGCCATCACATGTGTGAGAAATGTGAAATACTTTTCAAGTAATAGGTAGGGGCTTGTTCAGTTGCAGCTAACCCCCAAATAGGTTGAGCCAGGCAACATACATACCTGCTCATTCCCAAACACGCCTGAATGGCCCGGGCAAAATATCCACGTGATAATCACTACCTGAGATCTCTAGATTGTTGCCACCCAAAACATACCCAAAAAACCTGACTCCATCTTTCTGAGCATGCTTGGTGAGTCTGATACTATGACAACATGTGTGACTATAAATGTGTAACTGTATAAATAAGGACACACACCATATCTCACAATATCTTGCCTGGCATATTTGGCAATATTTTGGCAGGTGCTCTACTACAGTTTAGATCAATATAAAATGAAGCACTGAACATTTATCTTCTCGGGACTTATAAACTAAAAACGTAAAAACATATATAAAGGTAGGTTTGTAGATAAGCTGTACACCATCTAGACATCACACATACTATAAACACCTGGTGACACAAAGTGCTAACGTGCGGATGAGGATTAGCCGACGGTACTGTTTCCGGAAAACAAGGTATAGGCCGACCTCCGCAAACGCGTATTAAGACATTGAAACTGCATTGACTATGAAAGCACGAAGGCTGGAGAAAATTCTAGGAAAAGTGAGCCTTTCATTCGTACTGTGACGGGAGCGAGCTTCCGCAAAGACCTGCTGACTGACAATAAACGTAAAAATACATTGGTAACACGGGTCATTTTGAAACACACCCACACGTCACACCACAAGAATTCGGAGGTACTGTATCATTTGTTTGAGTTCCGTGTAAAGTACTTTTCAAATAACAGCTTTAGAAAAATTAGAGGAAGATTGACAGATAAACAGCCACGAACATATGTTTCTTTTGTGAATTGACAAATATATCATAGCATCTGTATTGTTGTGCCTGAGAAACGGAAAAAGGTAATATTTGATGTGACTCATTCCACACGAAGCCAGGAGTCGCGTTAGCGCTGTCGATAGGAGGCTCGCTTTCAAATCCAGCTGCGACTCGCTGCAGCCACGGTCGGTGTTTGAAACCGGGCGGTTCCCGGGGTTCACATAGTCTCTAGGAAATGGCTACCAGAGTTGACACTCTGGGGTAAATGGAGGAACATCGCTGGAGCTACGCAGTTACATGCGGACGGCGATACTGGCGGAGAGTTTCTTATCAGCTGTTCTTACTGGTGGCAAAGCACTTATGGTTTATAACCGTGTGCCATGACGCTGGTTCACATCTTCTGACTTTACCTTTACCACACGAAGCAACTCATGATAAGTTCACTGGCTATTGTTTTTATGTTTTGTTTATGTAAACTCATTAGGTCCTAAACAGTTGTTCACGACAGAGTTCTTTATTGGAAATATTTTTTGTCTAGACAATATTATTTTATATCCTCATTAGTTGAAGGATTTTGATTCTAGTCACATGGTTACCGGTGTTGTATTTATAGTACATATTATTTGAAGTATTTATGTGTATTTACTGACAGTTGGATAATATTATTATTTACAGATTGCCAGTTTTACTTTGAAATATAGTATAAGTTAAATAAAAAAAAAACTAACATTTCCGTAAAATATTTACAGTAACAATAACCAATAAACACTGGACCTTCCGTCAAATTATGCGACCACAAATCAAACCGATAAACATGTGAGTAGACAAACATTGTCTTTTCTTTTATATAATAGATGTATCAATAATATTGATAACATCAATAAACATGTGAGTAGATAAGCAATGATCTTTTCAACATTCCGTTTATCTATTCTCCAGGAAATGCGTGTGTGCAGGGGACGATTAACCAGACATACTGGCTGGTTCTACACCACATCATTGTGCAGTGATGCATGGACAAGTAAACAATGCACAGGCGTGATTAGATAATTCTGGTTTGGAGAGCGAGTTGCAGCCTGGAGTGACAAAGGATTTGACCGACACTCAACACTCAGAGCAAAGTCAAGACCGATATACAGTCAGACTTCTGCTGCCACCATCAGTATTGCAACGTTGCACTGGCTGCTGAACATGTGGCTTGAGTGCTTATGGGAATGTCCCGAATCTTGAGATATCGGGTTGTTAACCTTGCTCAACATAATACGATCATCAAACAATATCGATATATATTAGAAAAAAATAAACAATGACTGGTCTTTCAAATGATACACAAATAGAACAATATAAGTAAATTGGTGAGTAAATGAAGGAATATCATGTAAAGTCAGGCGTGTTTGTCTGAGAACGTTCCCTGTAACCCATACCAGATCTACCGGGGCGAGTGAAATGGGTAGACAAATAAGATGTCGTTCTTGACGATTGCCCTTTATGGCAACGTTATAATATCCCAGTGTTAAAGACTGGAGAAACTCGACGGCGATTCTTCCTTATACATCTTATTCACTTTCCAATCGACAGCCACGAGACATAGTGACGTCTTGAGCCTCGGGGTCATTACCGGTTGTCGATCGCTGGACGATTTCATGTACTTGCGAGGAAACCGACTTTGCAAATTGATAGCCAGTGAAAACAAATGGAGGAGCAGTCATTTAGAGATTGATCCAAGATCACATATGCCCGAGAACAGTGATGTCAGCGAGCGAGCGAGAAGGCGAGAAAACAGCTATAATGTGATTTCTAGCTTGTGTAGTGTTTGTATTTCTACCAAAATGTGGTTTGTGGTTGTTAAGAATATAGTCATCACTCTGCATCAGCATATGATCGAGTATGTAGTTAGTCTCTCATATCATGTAGAGAAAAACTTGTTGGTTGCATATGGCTCGTGTCAGCATTAGCCAAGGTCCATTTGACATCATTATATGTGCTGGGACAGAGACATGCCTACACATCCTCTCACATGAAATATCATCATCATCAAGTGCACCATCGACGTGCAAGGGCGATCAACGTTCTCCAGATCTTGCGTTTTCCAAGAACATGTATACGTTATTTAGCTGACACTTTTTAGTGCATTCACAAGAGATTGTTAAGAATCTTCCTCTCTCTCTTTCCATAATTATCTCCAGCTGTCACTCCATGGTTCCACTCTGTCTCATCTTATATTGTGGCAGCAAGTAATGACAGTCTGTCTGATGTTTCGTGACAGATTATATCTTAGTCCCACATGAATAGAAATACACAATTTTTACAAAAGAAAACTTATTAGTACCCGAATGCACAACATTTAGGCCCAAGGCGAGTGTCTAACCATTATGCCAAGGTGTAGACAGTTTTGTTCTCCACACGGGAGTTGAACAGAAATATCACCGTTTGTTCACCTAGTCATTAGCTGGCTGATGAAGGAAGTTACAAGTGATAGACACAGTATCAGATGGTCACGTCCAGGGCTGCCGAAGTTGGTTCGAGTGTATTTTTGTGCTAATTTTGTTTTAATTGACTCTTGCCAAGAAAAAACTATATTTTGTACATTCTGTCCGATGTTTTCATACGTTTTAGAAATGTTGTATAACTATTTCAAATCGTAATATTGTACGATGGATCGAGTAAGTGTCACTGATGGAAGACGGATGTCAGTCGTGCCACTGGTCATGGAATTTCCCAGCCTTGTTAAAAAGGGCGTCATAAACAAATAAATAAAGAACAGAGGAAACTAATACTGTGAGATTAACCACCTAATGCCGAAGAAAAAATTTTATGGTTTACAATTTTCAGAAGAGAAATGTGAAAATCAAATTTTTTTTTCAGTTAGTATCAAAATGCATGCAAAGCCTTTTGGTATTACCTCATTCCTCTGCAGCTGCGCCAAGCGTTTCCTCTCACCCAGATTAGGATGGTTGTGGGGAAGGCCCAAAGCTGACCTAAAACACCGAGATAGTCCAGATACTTGGATTAAACGAGAATCTGGAGTTAGGTGACTAACCACTAGTTACCCAAGGTCGCCACGTGAAAAGTAAAGGACCACCACGTGTTGTCACGTGAAACGAACCCGTGGTATAAGTCAGACTTGACTCTGGTCAAGTTTAGTTTGTTGTCGACCTGGTGGAGTTGAGAGGAACGTGTCGACTGAACGTGAGGAATGTCAAAGTGAGAAGTGCTTGTGGAGAAATGAGAACCCTGCCGACGAAGCGTGAAGCCGAGATCGACCATGCCAGTGTGTGAGATGGCCTAGAATCTCAACGTGAATCCATGGGAGCCCACTTTGGTCAGTGAATGCTTGAAGAAGCACGTTCGGTTGAGGCCTGCGTGCAGTTTGGGTATGAGAGCTTGCTCACTAGCACACCGACAGCACATTCTAGTTTGTAAGTGTAAAATACGTCAATAAATTTCATGGCTCCCCCGTAAGCTCACATCGGTGGTCGGCTTGTGGCCAGTTGTTTAAACGGGAAGGTCGTTGTGAGAAGATCATCCAACCACACACGCATGAAAACACTGGCCTAGGACAAAGAGAAGTACAACACACACCACTTATTACAATATGGCCCTTTATTGTTGTGTTTTAGCACCTCTTTAAAATACATTTGGTACTATTCCCCCCCCCCCCCCAATATTGACATCGGTCCTATATAAGCGCTAGCTGGGTGCTCCAGTGTTAGAGGATGGGACGTACTACGAGGGTGACATCGATCCTATATAAAGCTGCTAGCTCGGTGCTCAATGTTAGATGTGGATGAACTATAAAGCTGCTAGCCGGGTGTTCAGTGTTAGAGGATGTGGATGAACTACGCGGGTGACATCGGTCCTATATGCAGCTGCTGGCTTTGGTGGCTCAATGTTAGATGTGGATGAAACTATAAAACTGCTAGCCCGGTTTTTCCGTGTTTAGAGGATGTGAAAGGACTATCACGCGGGTGACATCGGTCCTATATGAGGCTGCTGCTGGGTGCTCAGTGTTAGAGGATGTGGTAGAGTGGATGAAATTAACGCTGCTAGCTGGGTGTTCAGTGTTAGAGGTGTGAAGATACGCGGTGCGACATCGG